GGACGTCTGACCTCCTCCCCCTCTTTTTTTTCTCCTCCTGCACGGAACCGGTACGGGCGCAGACCTTTAGAACTGATACTCAACAGCAATCAGAGAAGATGGGCCCCGACCCCTCCCTCAAAGTGGAGGGACTGTCACACGAGCACTCGAGCCAAAAGCCAAAAGAAATGAGCTTGGGCCCAAGCAAAATACCCTTTTGAAGTCACAATGTCCTTTGTTAATGGTCTTTTTCATGGGCTTAACTCCCAGCTAGACATTATCTAGACATTTTTGGTGCCGAATCGCAACTTTTCAAGGTAGAACTCTGAGACTCCATCAATGCTCGATAACACAGCAACAACTAACTATTGATGAGCCAAACAGAAGACGACGTACCAAAGCCCAACTTTCTAACTCAAGGCATCTCATTCCTCTTCCATCTTATCTCAATCGAAGAATCGTATTTCTGGCCAAGGATCTTGTCACCCTCTTGTTTGTGCAACCCCTCTCATTGTGAATTGGGTATCTGTTTTCAAGGGGTATGTTTGTTATCTGTTGTCGTGTTTGTAGTTGGCTGTGCTTATTGTGCTTGTTTCGGTTTGAGTCAGGAGTTACAGCGTAGTTCGTTGCTGGTTGGAGCACCTGATAGGTACTGTGGAAAAAGGATTGTGTTGGCGAGATCGTACCTCTGTTTTGTCATGTTTGCACATGTTAGACATTTGTATACAGATCTCATTATCTAAGCTAACAGTCATTTTCTTTGTTTCTTATCATTTAGTTTGGAGATTTGAGAGGAAGCGAAGGTAGCATCATCCCAGTTTACAACAATAAGGAAGGGAGGGAACAGACCAGGTTATTGCTAACAAGTACAGGATAGTATTATCAAGAAGAGCAATCCAATAAGATGGACTCTTACGACCCCAACTTCAACCCCGACACGTACGACCCGGGAGCTCCTCCACCGGCGTACAACGATCCCGATATGGGCTACATTCACGATGACCAACCCCCACCTGTACCGGCAGATCCTTACGACCCGGCTGCCCCTGGAGTCGACGCAGGTGTCTACGACGATGCTCCTCATCCTGGCTACGACGATGACCCGGATCACGACGTTGTCTATGGCGACGATGATCCCCGCTATGGAGCGTATCCTGATGGGGATGTCCCTCATCACGTGGGTGGAGAGTACGAACCGGACGAAAATGGAAACTACGGCGATGGATTTGACGATGACGACGATGTATACCTCGATAATACTCAACGAAATCAAAGTATCGGGAACGTCCAAGCCAAAGACGGAATGGGAGAAGTCTTTTGGAGAAACTGCATCGGTTGTTGCACTTGCCTATTTCTCCTTTGTGGTCTCATTATTCTCGGAGTAAGAATCGGCGAAATTAGTGAAGAAGATGCTAAAAAGACGCATGTCGTCATCCATGGAAAAGTCGGATTGATCCCTCCTCCCAAAGATTTGGCCATCAAATGCACCCACGAACGGGTCTTGTCCGAAAAGGGATTTTACGAGTGCGAACAATTGTGCGAAGTCGCCGATTGCTGCAATTATCCAACCACCTTGGCACTCTCCTGTCTCGCGGGAAACGACGACGAATGTCTCGAATACCATCAGCACTGCAATGTCCTCGACTTGGATACCGCCACCATTCTCAATCCACCTCCCACGCCGCCCGCGTCCAGTGTTCCCGAAGCACCCAAGGATATTGAAAACAAATGCAATATTGAATCTCTTCGGACCGTGCCCGGATTTGAAGGATGTGTCAATGATTGTATGCAGGTACGTAGGTGATATGATACGATACGAACGAGCAACGACAGAAAGAGAAAAAGTGTTGTAATGGCGCGGCGGTTTTTGTGGAAATTACAAAAATCTCACTTTATTTATGTATGTTTTGCGTTTGATTCTATTCATGCAGGCCGAATGCTGCTGGAAAAAGGATGGCAGTGTGCATCCCTGTACTTCCCTCGCGGTCTGTTCGGGATACGCCTCGTGCTTGACCATGGATGTCACGGATCACGTCAATATCGACATCAACAGAGAAATACAAGACAAGTGCGCCGATAGCAAATTGTCTACTGAAGTGGGACGCAATCAGTGCATCTTTGCCTGCTCCCATGCCGCATGTTGCTTTGATCCCGGGGCCACTTGTCCCCACCAAGATGCTAGATTCTGCAGTCAGTACCAAGCGTGTCAAAAGATTTTTGATGACAATGGGCAAGTCATTCAAGGAGGATCCGCTGCAGCGGCGGCAGCACAAATTCCCGTCGCACCGCAATTCCTCGATACCGCATGTTCCAAGAGCAGTCTCGATACTCTGCCGGGATACGAAATGTGCCTCGGGGCGTGTACTGAAGCCGAGTGCTGCTGGAAAAATGACGCCAAGTGTTTAGGGGAATCGGCATGTGATGGATATCATCACTGTGTCAGTTTGTTGGATCAAGGTGCCACCAGTGCACCCGAGGCTAGTTCCATCCCCGCGGCACCGCAATATCTGGCGGCGGCATGTTCGTCAGCCAGTCTGGATACCAACGCCGGGTTCCAAATGTGTCAGGACGCCTGTATGAAGGCAGAGTGCTGCTGGAAGGTAACATCGTGCAGTGAAAAGGCTGAGTGTTCCAGTTATGCCACGCACTGTGCCAACCTGGTGGCGCGATTGGACCAGACCAATGCCCCAGTCGACGCGGTGCTCCCTGAAGCACCCCATGATTTGGATCAAACGTGTGCTGCCACCACGGTCTTGGCTCCTTCGGGATTCAGCAAGTGTCAGACCGAGTGTGAAAAGACGGAATGCTGCTGGAAGGCGGGGGCACCCGATTCTTGTGTTGCCAACTCTGGATGTCAACCGTGGGCGCCGTGCACTGTCATGAATGGAGCGCAAGATCCCACAGCCGCAGCCGCTCAGGACTACACCATTGAACAGGTGTTTGATGCCTGTCTCAATCACGACAACAATGTTGGCAAAAATCATACCAGTTTGTGCCAAGTGGTGTGCCAGGCCGGAACCTGTTGCTTTGACGAATCCAAGGATTGCCCCACCACGATTGATTGCAAGGTGTTTGAACCCTGTCAAGTGTTGCACAAGGAAAAGGCAACCCAAGTGGAAACTGCTTGCGGTGGTGACGATTTGGCCGAATGCGTTGGCGTGTGTGCTGCTGCCACCTGTTGCTTTACCAATGATATTGCGAAAATCTGTGACATTACTTCCCCCGATGTCGTTTGCCGTCAATACAAAGCTTGTGAGATTCTTTACAAGGCCGAACTCTCCAATCCGTAGAAAGAACAGAGGTATATGCCTTAGAATCGGAATTGAGGATGAGGACTCTGCGAAAACATCCCAACAATCTACAGCCCAGGCCTTGTTAGATACTGATACGGTACATCGAACATCTACAAGCACTGCGTTTCAATTTTCACAATGATCTCATAAGGACGGTCGTGCGGCAAAAGAAAATGAACAAAAGGCATTCCATCCAGGAAGGACTGGGTGATGTGCAGGAAAGAGGAGAGGAGAGACGAGGGGAATGATATCATTAGGGCACGGACGTCATAAGACTTTTACATACATGTATTAGGTACCCAGTTGCTAGAGACCTGCTCACGGACGCAACAGCTATGCAAACCTCATCATTACTTGCACAGATCGGAGACGGATCCGTACTTGTTAGTTGAATGACTGGACCACAATTGAGGATTTGAAAGGCTTTTATGGTTCAGTTCTGGGTTCTCGTAGGCACTGTGGCTGTACCCTGTGCCGGTACACGAGTACTGAAAGGTCATATTTACATTTTTTTATACGCAAGAGGTTAGGGCGAAAGATCAGTAAAACCAATCTGTCGTCGTTTTTCTAGCTATTAATAGCTAGAAGGAGCAAAGGACGCGGCTTCCCAAGGACAGCTCAGTTTTCAAGGATTAGACAGCAGCTGCTGCGTATTCCCGTCATTCACTGTAGCCGGAAGTCTTCGTTGCTTCCATTGCAACAATCATCAAATTTTGTATCCGCGTGTTATGGCAGTGACAACTTCACAGTTGTCGCCACTCCCTGACTGATTGAATCATTAATTCAAAGCAGTCAGGGGTCATAACACGCTTAGCTGGATCAGGACATGAATGCTGTGCCACCAGCAGTTAGAGCCCGTTCAGGTGTCCTTCGGTAGTACTTCTTTATTTGATCATCGGATCCTTCTTCATAGGGGGCCTGGATAAGCTCATAGAGTTCCTGCAAAGTGCTCTCGTCCCCGAGACCAGCTTTCGAATATGCCTCAACCAGCATCCATTCACGCAACACATATTTAGGATTGACTTGTCGCATAGCTTCGTACAAATCTTTACACTCGACATCTGCAGCTCGCAGTGCCTCTCTCCATTGCTCAATCCAGGCTATCCACTCAGATCTCAATTCTGAAGTCAACGGTTCGTAGAACGGACAAGAATCGGAATTGTCATCTTCAAGGGTGTCCATCATTGCTTTGTAGTCTGTCGATTCCAGAGTGTAGTCCCTGGCGACATAGGTAAGCTGACGCCAGAAAACGGTCCAATCCACTCGAGATTTCCGCAGAAGCGGCTCGAGAGACATCCATACATCGTCACCCACATCAGCGTCTTTGTCGAATCCAAGTTTTACTCGAAAGGCTTCGTCCGTTTTGGCACGGAAGACCCCTTGTGCCCTCTCCATGATTGGTTGGCCAATGACATCAGGGTTTTCTTCCCCCTTGGCAGCTGCTATGACGGGGACAACACTTGATGCCAAGACGTTATAATTGGCAAACCCTGCATTTGGCTGATTGAGGAATCCAAAGTGCTCTCCACTAGATTTGATACGATTCGGTTTGGTTGAAGACGTGAGATTGCCTCTTTCTTCTCATAGGATTTCCATGATGCCAAAACAACGTTAAAAACTTACCTGCCCGTCCATTTAGCAAACAGAGGTGTGTACTGTTTTGTTGTTTCGACGGGATCAAGACGTGAGATTGGTCGATTGGTCGTCTTTCAAACAGGGAATCTACTCTGAAGCCTTACCTCGTCCACGAAACCAAATGGCCCATAATCCATTGTCTTTCCACCAACCAAACTGTCAGGCATTGTAGAAAGATGAGACAACAGTACGAAGTGTCTTGTTCATGGAAGCTAAAAAAGTTCATGTCGCTCACCAGTTGTCTGCATTGAAGTTTCCCTGCGCAAAGCCCACTCGCAGCCAATGTGCCACCATTGTGGCAAGCTTCTCGGCAGACTTTTCCAACAGGACAGTGGCTGCACTGACAATATCTTTGTCTTCAAAGTACGGGTCATAGGCATCCTCCTTGTACTCACGGTAGCAGGCATGCCTGTCACAGTGCGTCCAAAGTAAGTTAGTTGTTGTTGGTTGTTGCGACTGTGTTGTCAGCTGTCAAGCTCTTCTTCTTCTTACCAAATCATGTCTTCCAATTCTTTCCATTCCATCGTGGATGTATCATATCGTGAATCTGTCTTTTCGGCATTCTCCATACTCTTCTTTTCAGCACGCCTGGCAAAGAGATCAATATGACCCACCCGAGTGAATGACGATGCTACACGGCAGGTGATGGCGCACGGCTCGGTGATCATTTTATTGGGATCTGACTTTTGATTGCGCAAGCGTTGAATGATTTCTCGTTTTTGTTCATCCGAATAGGTAGCCAACCGCGGATCGTCCATGGTGGGTACCTGCATGGTGGCGTCATTGGAGTACCACGGACGGTTGACAGTTTCTCCTTCCTCGCTCACCACGAGCGACAGCGCTCGAGTGGTGGGTACACCTAGCCAATGCATGGCTTCACTGGCCAAGAACTCTCGAATGCTGGACCGCAGCACGGCTCTTCCATCCGCTCCTCGTGCAAAGGGTGTTCTGCCGCCGCCCTTGAGCTGCAGCTCCTGTCCGTTGAATTCGGCAATGCTAATGGCCCGTCCATCTCCATACCCATCGCCTGTTCCATAGGGGCAATTGTTGTAGTATTTGTTTCCCATGATGCTCAATGCGTAGGGAGTCGCCCATGTTTCTCCCAGGACGAGATTTCCAGAGACAAATTTGACAAATTCTTCCGAGTTGCTCTGCTCTTCCGTCAACTGGAGCAAGTTTTCGGCGACATCCTGGCTGTAGAGTACCAGCCTTGGATTGGGGATCCCGGTAGGTTTCACCAACACATAATGACCGTTGTAAACGGGTCGTTTGGTACGGTTGTCATCGAGTTTGGGAGACAGACTCTCGTGGCTCTGTGATTTGAGAAGGTTGATTTCAGTTTCGGGAGTCAGCATGCGAGGCCACGCATTGTCCAGTACAATATCCTTCAACGGCCCCGCCTTGTCAGGGCTGTCAGGATCCAGATTTGGCTTGACAGACTTGCTGACAATGGATCGATTGGCACCCGCAAACGGGTTCTGCAGACACAAGGTTGGCTGGGGCGCAGAAAACATTGTAAGGGAAAGAAGGGGTATCGCGCTGGCGGCCAGCCAACGTTGTGGGTGAAGGAGCCTCATTCCTGTGGTTTTGGAGACCGAAAACAACCTCTTCTCTCCTCCTAACACTGTTGCTTGTACTCTGCTACTGGAATGCACTGGCCTGATGAGTCTGCTCAACATGGCCAAGATAAGAAAATGATCGTTGGCATTGAGGGGCTTCGGGAGGGATTTTTCGTCTGCGGTGTCGTCTATGACGTCACTCTTTATAACAGGGATCTTTTCCATCTCCGCTGGCTTGGGGAATTTTATTTCATTTTTTCAGCTTTGGAGTTGCCAGGTGCTGGCCGCTTGCGAAGCTTGTTGTCGTTCCAAGGATCTTCGAAGCAGATGATATTGCTCTCCTCTCCTTCCATCATTATGTCTAGCAGAATCAGGCTGAATGAAACTATTACAATGAGCAAACTTCGAATTCAATGTCTGTTCCTGGCCCTGATGCTTGAATGGGCGGTGGCATCTGTGACGGCAACATCAGCATTGGCGCGGGATGCTTCTTGCCCGTCTCTCCCGATCGAAGAACAAGCAAAAAATGTTTCTGTCAATGCAACAGAGTGTGTCGATGATCACGTTGACTGTGAATGGTGGGCATCTGAAGGTAAGAAGACAATGCTTACTTGCTTGCTGGATGTTTTGTTGTTGTAGCATACGTTCTGGATGCATTCATGAACCCCAACCACTGTGCCTTTCTTTCAACCTGCACGGCATCTTTTCATAGGAGAATGTGACGAGTAAGTAAACCAGATAATGCCATGAAAGAGGAAATTGAAGCAACATCACCAACATTATCCCTTTCTTGTGCGCCGGTATCAGTAACGCCAACTACATGTGGCAATTCTGCCGTAAGAGTTGCGACACCTGCAAGGGATTCAAGGAGCTGAAACTGGATATGGGAGTGAAGCAGACGATTTCTGGAAGATCAATCGACCCAGAGCATGAGGAAGAGCTGAAAGAATTGCTGGAGGACACCAAGGAGTACATGGAAAATGTAGTGTTCAAAGATCCAAAGTACCTCAATGTGAGACGTCATTGCCGAAACCTGGATGGGGATTGCACCTACTTGGCACACCAGGGAGAGTGCGAAGAATCACCGGATTACATGAATGAGTTCTGCCCTCTGGCTTGCAAAAGCTGCATGGAATTGGATGAGAACTACCGATGTCACTACACCCACGATGACAATGATGCAACGGCTGCGTGGGGACCGGGAGACCTGAACAAGATGTTTGAACGGATCGTAACCGACCCCTTGTATCTACGCTATCAGCCACGAATCCTTTCCCGGCCTACAGTACCCATGGACGACAAGACCGAAATCTTGCAAGGTCCTTGGGTTGTCGTTTTGGACAACTTTCTGTCAGACGAGGAAAGCGACACTCTGATCGAAGTTGGAATGGACATTGGCTACAAACGATCTGCCGATGTGGGTAGAAAAAGGTTTGACGGAACCTACGAAGCTGTAAGTAGGCCTTTTCCAAAGACATCACTTCCAGAAGCATATTCTTTACTGGATTGCGTCCGTCCCTCTCACTGTCATTTGTTGCCCCGGGCCCATCAGGAAGTCAACGAAGACCGAACGAGTAAGAACTCATGGTGCGGAGGCTTCTGCTTGGAGGATTCCAATACACAGCGAATTCTCCAAAGAATCGAAAACGTCACCGGGATACCCAGTGACAACGGTGAGATGTTGCAATTGCTGAAGGTAAGACTATGCTGTGGACAAGGCACCTCAAGTCGTTTCGGTTTTGTCTGAAGACTGTGCTGTTGCCCTTTAGTACGAGAAGGGCCAGTTCTATAGAACCCACCACGATCTTATTGCGTAAGTCTATACAGAGCGAGCTAGCGAAGCGCTTGTATTGCTCACAATGGAGCCTACTGTCTAACCTGGACGCCCGCTTCTGCAATACGATAGCCACCAACGAGACCGCCCTTGCGGTGTACGCATCTTGACGTTTTTTCTCTATTTGAATGACGTGGAATTGGGTGGGGGAACCAACTTCCCCGAACTTGGTTTGACAGTGCAGCCAAAGAAGGGCAGAGCTCTGATTTGGCCAAGCGTGCTAGATGAAGATCCCAACGAAAGAGACGATCGAACCGATCATCAGGCTTTGCCAGTTAAAGCTGGAGTAAAGTACGGGGCCAATGCATGGATTCACCAACGCAACTTTGTGGAGCCATTTGAGCGGCGCTGTGTCTAGCTATCTAGCCATTAGAGTTCATCAAAAGACAGAAGTAGTCCTCGCTTCAATGTCGTCCACATCCAAGAAAACTCCCAAAAGTGATGCCAGTAAGTGACAGTCGCCATGCTGCTTTTGTAGTACTGACGTGCTCCGTATAAGTACAGTTCTGATACTGTTGGCACAATGGCGAACATCAGTGTGTGTGATACCGTCCAAACTAGAACATAGTAGAATAGTCGAACTGACTCCGGAACACTTTTCAAACGTCGGCGACGCTGCCGCTTTGCTTGATGCATCTAGCATGGTTCCCCAGGATAAGCACAGCGATGGTCTTTGTTTTGTTGTATTCGACAGAGGCAAACTGTGTGTGTCCACCACAGAGCCCTGATCAACAATCATCGCAACATCCATTTGAAAAGAGGATTTGTTTCGCCTTCTACAAGACCTCATTGCAGTGCTGGCTGTTATCGTGTCCATTTGACTAGGCAGTTACCGCCGATTGATCAATTCGCTCCTTTCTCTGTTTGACAAATGTTTCGGCATCTTTGCCACTCAATTCTTTGAATCTGGCTTGATCCTGTGGTTTGGCGGTTCCCTTGCTGATTCTCCATCGCAGTCGTTGCAACTCCTTGATTCTGTCCGACTGCTCTTGGTTGATTCTTGGCACGGAGGACGGATCTTTTCCCGTCAGCTCTCGGAATCGAACTTGCTCCTCTAGAGTCAAAGTCCCTCCCGTCTTGAGCCTTCGTTTGTAGCGTGCCTTTTCCAGACGTCGTTTTCGCGTATCATTCGACTCCCGAAGCAGACAGGAAGCATCTCTTCCAGTGAGCTCCTTGTACATTTCGGCATCACCAACCTTGGTTTGACCCTTGTACAGACGGTTGTGCACTGCTGCAAGGCTGTTGCTCACTTCAATGACACTCGAACAATCAGTGGTGGTCGGTATTACGGTTGTTTGTGATTGTGATTGTGGCTGCTGCTCCTGATGTGATGATTCACCACCCAACATGAGCTTGGTTCGGAATTTCCCCAAAGAAGTTCTGCCATCGTATTTGTGTGGCTTTGGTGTCTTTTTCCAAAGTTGGTACCATTCGTCTGAGTCCACTCCAGTGAGCTCTTGGAATCGTTTCTTTTCGTCCAGAGTCAATGATCCGCCTCTTGTCAACCGACTCTTGAATCTGTTTTTCTCCTTTTTCTCGAGCAAACTCTGAGGCATCTTGTACTTTTGTCACTCTACTTCGTAGTGAGTGAAGTGAGTTCTCGAAGATCCGGACGGTTTCGTCCTCCTCTTGTGAAAGGTGAAGATTGAAGAAAGGAATGGAGGTCGAGAAGGGCGCAAAGCGTTGACGAATGATATTGTATCGGTCGTTTTGTTGGATAAGGGAGAGTTTAGTCACGAATATGACGTTCACCACCAGATGACGATGCGCCATGACAAAAAAGATCGGTTCGCATTCGGCACAACATCGCGCAGCTGGCTGGTGCCCCTTCCAAGACAAGGGTCATCCACCAAAGACGCGCTTCTCACCAAGCAACCAAAACCGCGGTTCCAAAGCATCATTTTGTTCCAAGTAGTAGTTGTTTAGTATCTTAGATTAGCAGCGGCCCTTTTATTAGAAAGAAGAAGAAGAGAGAGATAACCATGAAGATTGGAGGATATCGATTGTGGGCGGTTTTGTCCGTCCTATGTTTTAGCAATTTTGTCATTGCCGAAGAAGCGACGTGCACGGCGGATGGTGATTGCTCGGTCGAGGAAGAAGCAGCTTCTACATCCAACAATGCTTCGGGCGCCAAGGTGGTTTGTGAAAACAAGCACGATCAATGCGAGTTCTGGGCCGGTCTTGGTGAGTGGATACAAACTGCTGCCTGCAAAATTATTGCGAGAATACCCTTTCTCACTGGGCGTCACCGTGGATGGCTCTGTCGGCTGTCACTCATTATTTTAGGCGAGTGTGAAAAGTAAGTATATGTTATATGGATGGTGCTTCCCACTACACGGCAGAAGAAACAAGAAGCTCACCGTCTCTCTTTTGATATTGCAATAAACAGAAACCCTGGTTATATGCACAGGTGAGTGCTGTTTATCCCATGATACCCTTTCTTGCACAAACGAAGAATATACATATAGTACCTTGTCTCACAATATTATACATTACTCGTCACAGCAACTGCGCCAAGATTTGTGGAACGTGTGCGGGATACCGACAACCGACTTTGGCGGATGGAAAAACGTTTGGAGTGTCCCAGCAAGTCACGGGAAGCAAAGCCGATGAAATTCAAAAACTCATTGATGACACACAAAAATACATGAGGGAAGAAGTCTCTGTAGATGACAAATTCAAGGAAGTTCGGGATGGATGCCAGAATCGAAATGAACTCTGTGCTTTTTGGGCCGTCATTGGGGAATGTGAAGCCAATCCAAAGTTTATGGAAATGTAAGGACCAAAAAGGGAATTGTATGATAATATATGTGTCGAAGAGAAGCAGAAAACCTTTCTGGAAGCTCACCTTTTATTCCCTTTCTTTATCACCAGGGAATGCGCGGTGCGTACTCAATAAATTGATGAAATCCTCAGGTGAAAACAGAAAAACCTCCCACGAAACTCACATCCTCTTTCTCTTCCGATACCTACCAGCCTTCCTGCAAGACGTGCATCAAATTGGACTTTGATTTCCGATGCCCTTTTGACAAGGACGCTCCTTCCACTTGGAAACCCGGTGATCTCAACAAAATGTTTGAACGAATCACTACTGATCAATACTACCAGCAGTTCGAACCAAAGATCCTTTCCCAACCAGGGCAGCCCATTGGAAAATTCAAGGATGGACCCTGGGTGATCACCCTTGACAACCTACTCTCGGAACAAGAATGTGAAAAGTTAATTGAACTTGGTGGGGTCCGAGGGTATGAGCAGTCGTATGATGTGGGAAAGAAGAAATACGATGGCACCTATGATAAGGCAAGTGGAGATGGATTTAGTTGGAGTAGAATTTGGAAACACAAGCCGGGCACAACTCACAAGCAACTTTATTACTATTGGGGCTATGTATTTAGCATTTGAACCAGGATCGCACCAGTACCAATGCTTGGTGTGTCGATGAATGCTACAATGACACTGTCACGCAAGACGTTGTCCATAGGCTGGAAAACGTTACTGGCATCGATGACACGAACAGTGAATATTTGCAGCTACTCCGCGTAAGTTGCTTCCAGCCCCTCATGTTGGCCATCAATATTTATGTGTGCATCCATGTCTCATTCGTTTTTATGACAATCTTGACAGTACGAAGTTGGGCAAAAGTGAGTTTGAAATGTTGAAGCACCTTTAGTAAGTTTGGATGGCCACTTACATTTCATCTTGTTCTTTTCCCTCTTCGCTATTTATCAAAAGATATGGGCAGCACCACGATTACATCGAGTAAGTTTCGTTTCTTCCGGACTGATGCTGTTTGAAGCCGTCTCCCGCTGTGAATGTTTCTCACCGTCGAACCTTTTACATCTACTTTTCTGCAGTTACCAGAAAAACCGCCAGTGTGGTGTTCGTATCATCACTGTCTTCCTGTACCTCAATGATGTGGAAGCAGGAGGGGGAACAGACTTCCCTTTGCTAGGACTCACAGTGATGCCAAAACGAGGTAAGTGCTGAGCATTTCTCTCATGATTCTTGTCGTTGCATTGCTTCTGGTATGCGGTTGCTTACCCGTTGCATTTCGGATCTCAGGCTCCGCACTCATTTGGCCTTCTGTCATGGATGCCAATCCTGACTACAAGGATCATCGCACAGAACACCAGGCGTTGCCAGTGGAAGCCGGAACAAAGTATGGTGCCAATGCATGGGTTCACCAAAGATCCTTCAAGGATCCATACGCAAAAGGTTGCATCTAGTTTAGAAAAGAATCCCAGAACAATCATCTTCGGCGGAAGACCGGATCAGTCATTTGAATCCGCCGCTGGCTTGCCCCTGAAATCGGAACTTGCCGGGGTTTGCGGTGCTTCACTCTTTATTTAGTTAGGTTAGGATACTCAATAGCAGATTGGAAGAAAAACTACACTTTGTTTTGCTGGTGTGTTCTCTATAAGAAACGTTCTGAACTAAAACCTGTGCTCCAATGTATCAGCTTGCCTTCATTCTGCAACTCTGGATATTGTTTTCAACTCACCAAGTTGGCCTTGGGACTGGCAAGTAAGGCGAAGCATTAGAGTAGCCCAGTAAGCTTGTAATGATTCAGTTATTATTATTACCAAGTTGGCCTTGGGACATTGGTTGGGCTCCAACAAGCACTATCTAGCTAGCAAACGATATCGTTTTTCATAGAATTGGAGCTGTAATTGGTATTTTTCAGAATTTCAAAATTGATTACGGTTCATTATCCCTTGTTTTAAGATTGAAGATTCGATTCAAATACCGGTAGCATTCATTTGCCCACCAGTAGCTCACCGTTTCCATGAGAGGGACAGAGTGGTTTCTCAAACTTCAAAAAGTTGCTTTGGTTAGGTTAGTTCAGTTCAATGCTACTGATTTTTCACTCTGCTCCACGAGTTCGTCTATCACCGAAAACTGTCGGTCCCACTTGACATTGTAGAGGAACTGACGCAAATCGAAACGATTGTCATCGGGCGAGTATCCCTCCGCGTGGTAAGCGGGGGTGATGGTGCACATCTTGTGGCGATTGACCGAGTAATAGAAAAAGAATCTCTTGACCTTTTCTGCCACTTCACGAGAGGACAAGTGGCCCCAAGTGACGTTCAGTTTGCGATACCTACAAGCATATAGAAAGGGCAGGTTGAGTTACTACTGTGAGATTGAATCCGGCCGACACGAACAAAGCAAACGGTTGGCAATTTGCTTACATGGACACCGGGCCACACCGGGAGAGCTTCCGTAGTGTCCCGTAAAGCCCAAGCTCGGCGTACGACATGCCCATTTCTTCTTCATCTAGTTGAGAATGTTCTGCCGACGGATCCGTGTTGGCGTCGGCAATGGGTCGTAGTTCCGCCGTGGGTGGGGCTCCGGCAATTTCTGCGAGCACGGGCCATTGATACTTGTCCGAAGCCCAGAATAGCATGCGCTTGAGGTCTCCCTTGGAAATGGCCCCAATGGGATTCAAATCCGCCGAGGAACAATCGTACTTGGTCATGTATCCACGCAATCCTTCATCGACATTGGCACTCCCCAATACCAACAAGAACCCGGACCGTCCTCGCACCCATGGGAGCAGTTGTGCATACAGATATGCCGTGACCATGCGCAGTCTTGCCTGAATGTTTTGCAAAGCCAAATCTTCGGCATTGGTTCCCCCGTGGACGGTGAATCGAGGAGTCTTGTTGGTGGTCATGGAGAATACCTTAATGACGGCTTCGACCATTAAATCGATCTTGATGGACAAATGATAGGACCCCACCGATTCGCCCAAACGCTTGGCCCGGGAGGTGGTCTTTTCGGACGAGTTTTCCGTCCCCATGAATGTCGTGTGTAGCACGTAATTGGCTAGTTCCTGGGGTGTTTGCGGGATCCACTGGTCATCATCGACACGACAAACTCTTCGACAGTCGGCCGCCACGGTACCGTTAGGATTTTGTTGGATTGCCTCCACCACCACATGACACATGGCACCGACAATAGTGGCTACCGAAGACGAGTCGGCTCCACCCGACAATGGCAAGAAGAATCCAGCAGCACCCGATCGTCTTAGGTAATCCCAGAGCCAACAGGCCGGGCCCAGGCAACATTCTTCTTCAGGACAATGAATGTCAAGTTCTTGAGGTAACGAGGGAACCAGCTTTGGAGTATTTGCCGGGACAAGCTCAAAGGTGGGACAATCGACAAAGGAGTGTTGATTGTTTCGAGCTTGATGCGTAATGGCTGTTTGAATGCCAAAGGACGGGATGGAAGCTCTGTAGGATCGGACATCATCCAAATCAATGGTTGCAGTAATGACTTGTACATCTTGCACATCAAATTGCTTGGCTTGTGCCAGCACTTGTCCATTACAGGCAATGAGTGCTCCTCCATCAAAGTAGAGGCGCCCTCCATCACATCCTCGCTGATTGGCATATAAATAGACACCTCCACATTTGCGTGTGGCCGAGACAATGAGTTCGAGTCGTTGATTGAGTTTTCGCAATTCGTGATGACTTCCCGAACCATTGCCAATGATTTCCACTCCCTGCAATGCCAGATCAATATGCGTGGCCCGCGGCGTCCATAGTTCTTCGCAACTTTCGCATCCGACTGAAATTCCATCTCGAAATTGGACGTATTGAGTCCCAAAGGGCGCGGATGTCTGTTGAAATTTTTCTTGAAAGATGCGTGGCAACAACATGGTCTCGCTGCCACTGGTAAAAGCGGTAAAGTAGCGTGATTCTCGGTAGTTGCCATTATCGGCCATGGAAGTCTTGGGTCGCACCAGTAGAATTTGCTTGTCTCGTACCAGGACACGGCAATTGTAGCGCGCTCCACCAAAGAGAATGGGCATGCCAAAATCACAGAGCATCCCATCGGTAGCTCCTCGATCCAAGAGCTCGGCCAAACTCTCCCAACAATGGGCAAATGTGTCTTGTTCCAAAAAGTGGTCTTCACAGCCATAGCCGCAAATCTCCAATTCCGGACCCAGACGGTAAGTGGCGCCTTGAGCCTTGGCTTGTTGACAGGATTCCAAGATGCGTTCCAAATTGCCGTTAAAGTCCAAAGCCCATTGGTTCAGGTTGCAAGTGGCCACCGTCACCAGTGTCGAAGTGCCGTGGGGGCCTGTCATGGTCTCTCTCTCTCTATTATTCTTGCTTTCTTTCTTGCTTCTTCTTGTAGTCGTACTGATGACTGCTTCTTCTACGATGCTGGACTGTGCTCCCCTCCTCACACAGGTGAGAGGGAGACGTGCAAGCATGAGAGCATGCCATGAGAATTCACAACGAAAAGATCCAAATCTATTCGAACCGGTCGAATGATATCGATTTTGATCGAATAAACTGACTCAGTGCCGTCAAGAGGATCTTTGGCGCCAAGCATCGATTGGTCGACATCACAATGATACTTGCCTCGGTTTCATACAAACCAACAAAGGAGTACTCGAGTAAGAGAGATGAGGAGTAGACAACAAGACGCTGAAATTGCAAAGATAATGAGAAACTGGACAAAAATGCAGAACATTATTTGGCTGCTGGCAACTATTCTGCTGGTGCTTCTACCCCACACCCCACTGGCATCTTCCTTATCGGATGCTTGGAAATTACCACCCGCAACCACGGTCGTCATCACTGGTGGAACGAAAGGCATTGGCAAAGCCTGTGTGGAAGAATTGGCAGGAACTCTGGGTGCAAACGTCTTTACATGCTGTCGCAACCAGCAAGATTTGGACCAATGCTTGGCGACATGGGGCGACCAGGGATGGAATGTGCAAGGGGTGACAGCCGATCTGGCCACCACCGAGGGGCGAACGGCATTTTGTCAGAAAATTGAGGAGTGGTTGCAAGGACGACGACTCGATGTACTCGTCAACAATGTCGGAACCAACATTCGAAAAGCATCGGTCGATTATACCCCCGAAGACGTTGAATTTGTCTGGCAAACCAACTTTTTCAGCTTTTTTGCCCTCACCACGGCATGTCACAAATTCTTGACACGACCACAATCTCAATCTACGGCACTCCCTGCTGCTACCGGTACTACTAGCAGTGTAATCAACATTGGAAGTGTAGCCGGAGTCACTTGTATGAAGTCGGGAACGCCCTATTCGTCCACCAAGGCCGCCATGAATCAATTGACGGGAAACTGGGCCTGCGAATGGGGATTGGATGGCATTCGCGTCAATTGCGTTGCTCCGTGGTACATCAACACCGAACTCGCACAACAAGTACTCAAAGATGAAGCCTACAAGGCTAGTGTCTTGGAACGGACTCCCATGGGCCGCGTGGGAGAACCCAGGGAGGTGGCAGGCTTGGTGGCATTTTTGGCATTGCCCATTGCCGGATACATTACCGGGCAAGTCATTAGTGTGGATGGTGGATTCACGCGCAATGGATACTATGATAGTTTCTACAGTAAGTAATTTTTGGCTATACACTGTACTTCAAAACTGGCAACATTAGCTTTGTTGGTTGCGGAGAGATGGATGGATGGATGCAATTCACCAAATTGTGATAACTATAGTTATCCATAGCACCGAATAACGGACTTGTCAGACTTTTTGGCGCTTTGTCCACCCTTGAGCAAGTATTGTTGATGATAGTCTTCTGCTGGCCACCATTTGCTGGCAGGCAAACATTCCGTCTTGCATCCTTCCCCGTACGATTGTATTATCTGTTCGGCAATTTCCTTTTGTTCGTCCGAATGATAGTAGATCCCATGTCGATATTGGCTTCCTCTGATGATATTGCATTCGATGGATGGATGGCATTGATTTGCGGACATGAGAGAGTTGCAGTCATGACATCCCCACATCAATCACACTTTATATTTGGTATTTTCACTTACTTGTCATTTCCCACTTGGTTGAGCAGATATTTGTTTTCGCCTAATCGATCCATGGCCAAATGAACCAACCGATCATAGGACACCACATCTGGATCATATTTGACCAAGACCGCCTCGGTATGTCCTGTTGTTCCCGAGCATACTTCGTTGTAGGTTGGGTTTTCCTTGTCACCCTGAGTATATCCCACAGCGGAACCCACGACCCCTGGTTCTCGCATGTACTCGAGTTCCACGCCCCAAAAGCAGCCCAAGGCAATGGTGGCAACTTGAAAGCGCGAATTGGTGGCATGTGGATATTCGGTAATTTCGGGTCCCTCTTCCATTTTCAAAAGATTGACCGATGCCTGGTAAGCGGCACCTGCCAAAGGTGGATTGGCATCAATTTTGAACTTTTCGTCGGCCACCACTTCTGTTACGATGGCCTTTAGTCCGTTGGCGAGCAACAATTGGACTCCCTCCTTGATTTGTGAATTGTCAATATTGGGCATGTCGGCAAAAGCAATCCATGCCTCGAGGGCGGGATTGCGTTCGCCCCACCCGGCATCGAGCGTTTCTTCAGCCGAACTTCCCACGGTCATGGTCGATACCAGTTGGTGTAGTCCTGGCAAATAGTTTCCTTCGCCCAGTACAAAGGAGAGCGACTTGGGTTTGTCATAGTCATCGACGCAAATACCATCAATCAGCGTCTCTGGGATGAATTCACCTTCGGGTCGAAGACAGCATTCAATGGTCACCACAGAACCAGGTTGGGGTGTCTCCATGAAGAGCCTGGAAGATGCAGGTTGTCGAGTAGTAAGAACATGGTTGGGAATTCTGTTGGGGGTAGCCAGAAAGGCCAAAGAAAATGACGCAAGGGGCAACAGCAAAAGGGTAGCTCGAAGGAAACCAGCCATCATTTCGAGATCGTTTGGATGGGGATGAATTATTGAGATAACCACAAATATAAATAAGATCACTAATAGTTGGTGTAATAATGGTACAGTCCATTCCAACAGCTCACCCGCAAGCTGCTTTTGTTCAGCCGGAAACCTTGATGAAAGAAGTGGCCTTGGCGCATTGGTCCTTTTGGATCGCCGTAGTCAGAGCCCAGGCTTAGAATTTATGACGTCACTTGAGAACAACTGTAAAGCCGGTTGAGCTGCTTACATATTTTACAGCCCAGGTGTCTTCTTCATCCTCTCGGCAACGGCAACCCAAAACTGAATCCGATCAGTCCACTTCGCCGCTCGCTCCCGTTGGTGGCACTTCCATCCACAGCACGATCGACAGCACATCCAGCACAATATGGACTTGCTTGGAGACTATGGAAGTGACGATGACGACGACAGTGATACTATTAGTATTACGCCGACCACAAGAAAACGAAAACGATCCAAAGAGCAGGATGATACGGCTATCACGCCACCACCAATCACCATTGTTCCCTCACAGTCAATCAAAGCATCCACGTTTGTCCGTTCGACACCTCATGTTCCGGGAAACTGGGCTGGACATGTCTTTGCGGCCGTCATTCGCCTGGAAGATTGGCGTAACACGTTGACAGAATCCCTCCATCGATTCCAAGTATATTTGGAAAAGATTGGATTTGCTGGAGGAACCGTGATTTCCCACCTGGACTCGAACGAGTTGCACATGTCCCTGGCCCGACCCTTTACGCTGCAATTGGGATCCATCCAACCCTTTGTGCAGCAATTGGAAAAACGCCTCTGTCACTTGCCCACGATAACGCTATGTATCAACCCATGTGATGAAAAGGTTTTGGTAAATGACGACCGAACCAGGTCCTTTTGGACTCTACCCATTCATGCCAATCCCACGCTACGGGCCATTGTCGAGGAAGTAGATGCCGTTCTTCAAAACTACAATCAGCCAGCATACTACAATCCACCAGTTTTCCATGTCAGCGTGGCTTCCGTGGTGGGAGATTTGGAGGCTCTGGCCAACAGAAACTGCCAACAAACGAAGACTGCCAAATCCAGAGGCTCAAGCTCTACCAAAAGTCATACTCGCCATGTCAATCTCAAGCAGGTCCAATGCAGCTTTGGAAACACAAAGTGCTACAGTATCAACTTGCTTCAACGGTGATAGGCTTAGCAGCATTTCATGGACGGGCTACCTTTCTGCACGAAATCCAATCCAGCGCAATTATAATATATCAATGCAACCCCTGTTTCAATGGGTCCATGGCGATTCATCAATGGATCCGTGCTGCTTTGATCTACCCGTCGCTCTCCCCCGCAGCTTCCATGATCACACAAAGCTTCCCTATATACAACTGCACACGACCGCATGAAACTCCAAAGTACAATGCAGCTTTGGGGTTCCTAGATATATATTACTCTACTGTATCAAGATGTTCGAAGGATGATGTGCGGAAGGACCAGTACGGTATACCGGTAGACGACGATGTCGTTCTGTGGTGATCCAATCAAGATCAATGCGTATTCATGTATGTATAGTTGAGGCTTGAGGTCAGTCCGGGTTCGAAACAGTCATCCATCATAGACGCCTCTTCCCTTTCGCTAATTCCTTGATCTTCTTTCCTTAGACGTCGACTTCAACATCGTCAAGCAATTCATGAATGGCCGGAGTAAAAGCTTTAGGCGAAGGATTACGCATAGGCTTCTTGTTGGTTTTGGCACGGCGGGGTGGAGGGGATCGGGCTGTTTCGTCCAACGGCGCCAACTTGCCCTTGAAAAAATTGTATTTGACAACCAGTACGAAAAAGCTGACGAGGTGGATGACTCCGGCATAGCCGACCAGAACAATCATCTGCAGTGCCGGACAAAGCGAGGGAACATTAGGCCCTATCACGATGGTGAAGAGCAATCTTCCAAAACCAACCAAGATGCAACTTACGTCAAATGTCTTGTTCACGTCGTCAATTTCAAAAGCTTTCAGAACAGCTTCACCAGTGGGGAACAATTCAGAGTCGAATGTTCGCCCACGAAATTCATTGTCCATAAAGGTCCTCCAGGAGTACGTGTGAAATGCCACATTGTACGTCCAGCGTAGCCAGTCGGGAAAGTCCGAGGGGATCAACATGAATCCTTGGAAGAGCATAAAGAATCCATACATTCCAGCAATTACAGCCATTCCAATGACAAAATGCGGCACCACATGACTGACGAGCTGCGCCAGGGCTTCTGCCACCAGCAGGCTCAAAAACATGTCCAAAAAGTACCATTCGGGGTTCTGTAGCTTGGTCATAAAGACGACAATCCCCGTGGTCAAGCCCGCCAAGACAGCGGCACCAGGGATACTGGAAAGTCCCTGACTGACCTGATAGAGGATTGGATGGTAGTAGTTGTTTTGGACTTCCTTGTCGACAATGGCACGTTCAATGACGGTAAAGGGGAGTACAGCCACCGACATGAAAATGAAAAAGGCAACGCAGTAAAAGAGGACAGCGGCGCGACTGTTGATGGACTCGTAATCCGTGCGATCGCCGAGCTCCCAAAATAGGGCACCCACCATGAGCGCCAACATGCTGTACATGGCAATGCGCGTTCCCAAAATACCAGGGTTGAACCACAGATTCAAAAAGTATCGGTAGGTCAGTTCAATGACGACTCCGGGGCCACACCCAGCACGATGAGTCTTGATGTATCCTTCCTGGGAAGCTGCGAGAATGGAAGGCCGAGCTTGCTTGGCCAGGCCCATTTGGGGTGTCTCTTCGGACCAGTCGAGGAACAAGTCGGCCCACTCATCGACGGACAATTCATGATCGCGGAACTCATCATTGACCGCCGTCACGTAGTGATCCGAGGGATTCCATCCATGTTGCGTGGGGAACCCAGCCGCGCTGAAGAAGTTTTCAATTTCATCACGGGGTCCCTGATACATGAGCTTGCCTTGACTGAGCAAAACGACATGGTCAATCATTGTCCAGATGAAACTAGAAGGTTGGTGGATTGTCAGAATAACACGGCGTCCTGGCCCGGCTCGAGCATAATTCTTCAAAAAGTCCATCACCTGCAGCGCACTTTCGGCATCCAGTCCCTGTAGAATGATTGGAGATTTGGTTAGGCGGACGCATTGCATTGTGGGATACTAGACAGAACAAGACAGAATGCAACTTACCGAAGTGGGTTCGTCCAAAAAGAAGTTGTTGGGGTTGGTCAATGCCTCTAGAGCAATGGATAGCCTACGCTTCTGTCCTCCCGACAAGCCCTTGATGAAAATGTCACCCACTCGAATCTCCGCTTGTCCCTGAAGACCAAGCTGTTTGATGAGGGTATCAATGCGTTGCGCCGTGGCCTTGTTGCGTGGCAATCCCGACAAACGAGCGTAATGGTGCATATATTGTCGAACGGTATAGAAACCATGGAGAGAGTCTTGCTGAGGAACAAATGCGCTTTCTCCAGGGAGGTTCACTATGGGATAAGAAGTAGTAGGCGAAGAGTGTGAGTGTGGAACATTCGGAACAACATTCCGTCATTCGTCATGACGGAGAGCAAATTGACTTACATTCGGCACATGCCTGGATGTTGGAATGAATGGAGTCGGTAAGGACACTGAGGAGAGTGGTCTTTCCTCCTCCAGAAGGCCCTAAGATGGCCGTGACGGAGCTGGAGGGGAAATCAATGGCCATGCGATGCAAAATGTTCTTCTTGCCTCTCTTGGGCTTGACGGAGGACACAATGCAGTAGCCATCGTGGTTCACGTCCGAGCTCTTCTTCGTAAACTTCTTCATCGTCTTAGCGTCTTGACAATGAACGCAATCAACGAGATTTTATGGGGATGTTCTTGCTTTGACAAGGTTCTGCTAGCTAGCGTGGACTTGATGAGAATCGAATCAGAGGAGCGTTTTGTACCTTCTCTTTTTATGAGAGAGATGGCTTGAGCTCTGTGTTTGAATAGCTGTTTGGATTAGAATCGACTTTATGAGACTGAAACCAGTGCGATTAGCATTAGCGGAATGCTGCAATACACTGGACCAGCTCTGGACGCATGCAACAGGAACCACCGTTTGGAAGCAGACCAAGTGGATGAGTAGAAGTGATTCCGAGTGTGAGCAGTCATGCGAGCGCCCAGAAAGCAAACCTGACGACACCTCAAATTACAAGCAGTCACTAGCATGACGTTTGAACAAATCAATTTTTCGCTGTTTTTTGCTAAATGAATTTTCTGATATACAATTTTTGATGTTTGCGAAATGGCTAAAACATTCTATTTTTTAAACTTCTTTTGGAAAAGGATCTTCAAGAAAAACAAAATGAGTGGTTATTGTTTGAAACTTGTAAAAGTGAATTGGAGAAATGGCTCTGGTTTCAATTTCTTTTTTTGCGTTCCAAACAAAACAATGTATAAATTCAGAAAAAGGAGAGGTGTGACAACCCATCACGAGTTGAAGCAGTCTTTACGACGAAGCTACGTACGGTACAGAGAACCCAGTGGTTTGAGTACCAGCTACAACAGGGGGTCAACAGCACCACAATGTAGCAGGCCATTTAGTCTTTTTGCTAGTGACTCAAGAAGAAGAAGAAAAAAACACAAGTCCTCTGCATCAGCAAACAGTGTTGTTGTTGTTGCCATCTCCTTGTGATTACTACTAGTAGTGGTATACCATCTACCACTACTCCACAAGAAGAAGCTGCTTGATTCAAAGTGCTTCCACTGTAAAAGTCAAATTCTGACCTGTACTGTATTGCATACGGTACTGTTTGATCAATGTAGTTTCCTGCTGCCCATACCGTTTACGGTTCATCGTGGGAACAATTTACTGTTTACCGTTTACCGTTTACCGTTCATACATTGACTTGTTCAAAAGAGGACAATATCTGTGTACGATATACGGTTTACAGTTTTACAAATTAAAGTTGATTTACGAATAAAGAAAACGTACCGTATATCTCAAAGAAGCCCAAAAAGCAAGAGAACGGTAAATGGTAAACGGTAAAAGTACACAAAATAATTGAAACGTACACGGTAAACCGTGTTGAATTCTCTTTACAAAAATATCAAAGAGAAAAACTGTGGTAAACGGTATACCGTTTGGGCTGGCCACATCTGCACATTGTATACCGTATACGTATCCGCCACCTCATTGGTATGACTAAATTTTTGGCAGAAGTGGGTGGGCCTGCTACATTGTGGTGCTGTTGACCCGCTGTCTAGTACTACAGTGTACGTAGTACGTTGCCTCAGATAGAGGCCTTCGGAGGTATTGATGTGGACACAGCGGGGACGACTGTGCATAGTCAACAAACGGTATCCACGCTCTATTGGTCCGAAAGAGTTTTGAGATGGCCTTTTTTAAGTTTTTTGAACCTGACGCGATTGACTGGCCGTTTTTGGTCAAAATTCAGACTTGTTTTGAGAGAAATCCATTGGGTGTGCTCGTGCATGAAAGGGCCCGAAATCAGGATTTTAAGAATCCAATTAAATTGATCAATTCCAAACCTAAATATATAACCGAAACCAAAATATAAAACCGAAACCAAAATATAAAACTGAAACCAAATTACTATGGTAAATAACTAGTGAAATCAAGCCGAAACCTAAATATAAAATCGAAACCTAAATATAAAACCGAAACCAAAATATAAAATCGAAACACAAGTATAAATCGGAATTTGGTGTAAATCGCCATTTCGGGCCCTTTCCGTCCTCTTTTCGCTGGATAAGCCTATTTCAAAGAGCCTTCGGAATATCTATTAGTCCGAACGGAGAAATATCCAGAAGCTGCAAACGGCAAAACATAACCAGGGAGCAGGAGTGCGTCAATCTTCTCGTACCGGTACCGGTACCCGGGGGTGGATTCGGTTTGGTACCGTACGGTATTGGATATGTTTGCAGCTTCACTGCTTTGATACCGCTAAAAGAATTGAATCGAATCGAATCTTTATTTTTCTTTCGTCAATAAACATCAAAACAACCTCCGTGTCATGCCTCTGTGCAACCACTGAGCTAGCTAGCCGTGCTGTTTCGACAGATAAGAAAAGTCGCAGGGAAGAATCAAAGCAAGGAAAAGTGAGAGGGAAAGCCTTCCACAACATTGTCTGGAGAGACAGACAAGGCAAGCTTCGCTTGACCTCTACAGGGTTCTCGTTCAAATCAGAGGTGGTGCGTGCTATTCTTGGCAATGGTCTTCTGTACAAAAATGCCTGATGGCTTCCAAGCATACAAAGAAGAAGAATTAGATGAAGCTAGTCGCCAAGCAAAGTCCAGGAAAATCTGTGATTCTGTCACTTCGAACGAGGGAGGAGTTGGAGATTCTACACCAAGAAGCCAGGATGCAGATGAATCAGAAAGAACCACCGCCACCATCGATACTACGGGTCATGGTGAGACAGAAGTCGGCCAAGTTGATGGGGACAACCCCGGTGACGCCGTGGATACCGACTGTGCCGAAGATGACGCCAAAGAAGAATTTTGCTTGTACAATGAAGAGGAAAGACAAGAGTATTTGGAAAGGATTCAGAATGATCCAGTGCAGATGGAAACGTATATGATAATGAAGGGGTTGTTGGAATCCTTCAAAGAGGGAGCCTTGCCGCCGGACCTTCGCCCACCCACCCCAGAGGCGGCACGGAGGATATTGAAAAGATCTGTGAGCAGCCTCCACAGCTTGTCAAGAGGGATGATGGATTGGACCTTCCGGGTGTCAGCGTTCATCAGTTGCAGTGCTGGAAGAGGTGAAGGCGGCCGGTTTCTGCAGCGACGCAATGATCCGAGAGATCGAGGACCTGGGTTCCGATGACCATGGAGTTATTCGCCAAAAAGGTGCCCGTAACCTGCCCGATTGATAATGAAATGGGAGCTGCATACGTGCATTCCCTAGGAAATGATCCAACGAAAGTGGGTCCTGCGAAGTACCTTTTAAGCTATACTTGGTCTTACTCCATTGGAGACATTGTTGAAACACTGGTCAACTACTGCCACAGCCACGGAAAAGATCCTGAGAGAGACCTATATCTGGACATGTTGTTTATGGTGGGTCCTGTTGTCCTTCCTTGAGATTGTTGAGATTCTGTTGCTCCTGCTCGCATATCCTCCTTGCCCTGGAAACTCCAAGTGTCAACCAACACAGTGTCGTTTCCGACCGCAACCAAGGCAAATCTGTTCCCTTTGAGGATTTCCGTGATACCTTCTTTTCCAGGGTGGTCTCTCTACTTCAATCATCATGCCCGTGAGGGAAAAGGCTGCGATGCTCAACTCCCTAATCTCCAGAGACGGCGTGGATGAACTGTACAAGACAGTGGCAAGTACAAGCGTTGAAGCATATGGTGTAGTCCATAACGAAGTTGTGACAGTGCTCTTTTCCATGGCAGGGCTTGCCGTAAGTCAAGATGACATGGACCAAGCCACCGAATTCTTGAACAGGACGGTATCAACTGTTGAACGCCTTGAAGTCAAAGGCTCACGGTCCGTTGCATGTGCAGTTGAGGCCTGCAAGCAGCTATACAAAATCTTGCTCGCGAAAGAAGACTTTGAAGGAGCTCGAGCCCAATACGACAAATGCTTGGAAATTGCTCGTCTGGGTTATCGTGAAGGCTCTGTCGAGATCGCAACAATCCATTCGGAAAAGGCAAGGTTGATGAATCAGTTGGGCAACAAAGACGAAGCTCTCGAGCACTTTGAGTATAGCCTTGCGTCCTATAATGGGGCCCCTTGCGGTGGCTCTTGCATTGGAAAAGTCAATTGCGTGTACAACATGGCTACCGTTCTGAAGAAGCTTGGAAGGTTATCCGATGCTCTGGAGAAGTTCTATCAATGCCTCCGCCTTGAAGAGTCGTTGCTTGAACAGCTTCACACAAATCTCATTCAAACGCATACTGAGATCTTCTGTCTTTCAAGCGAACTCAACGACAAGATTGGTTCTTACAGAAGTGGAATGATGCGAGTTGTCATCTGCAAGTACGGGCTTGGAACCGAACACCCAGAAAGCATCAAGGAGTTTCTGTCTTTCCTTGAAGAGGACGCAGTTGATCAATGTTCGTACTAGGGATTGGAACTCAAAGGTGGAATTCAAGGACACTATGCAAGTTATGCATGGGCCTTCATATACATTGTGAAAGGAAGCGAGTTGGAAAAGAAGGGCGACCGTGACGCTGCCCAGACAGAGTTTTCTAAGGCGCTTTCATCTTGTGAGGCAGTCGTCGGCCAAGATAATTTAGAAACGGCCTCAATCTACCACCACTGGGGCGAAAGCCTTGCTTGTCAACAATGCCACGATCGGGCCTTGGAAGAGCACCAGAAGGCTTTAGAAGTTCGCGAGGAGGTCCTAGGTGAGCACCCAGATAAGGCCCTCTCCCGCGCTGTTGGCGCTGCCCTAGAGAATCTTGAAGAGTATGAAGATTCCTTGGCGGCTTATAGAAAGGCGCTTGCTCTCCTTCAAGTCATCTATGGGGAAATTGACCTTGAAACCGCTGTAATCCACAAGAAGATTGGCGATGTTCTCGTGGAGATGGAAAACCAGGAAGAGGCGCTCTACCGCTATGGAAAAGCCCTCGAAATCTACAAGGCAGAGGATGGTACCAGTACAGACCAAAAAGATGTAGCGGAGGTGCACAATGCAATTAGCGTCGTCAAAGAAAGTATGGAAGAATACGATGACGCCCTCGAGCAATACAAAGAAGCATTGGCAATCCAATTGGCACTGGATGCTGAAGGTGATGCCAGCACAGCCACGAGCTACTAACATTGCGGGTGTGCTTTTGAAGAACAACAATACGGACGAAGCACTTGCAAACTACAAACAAGCAATAGCAAGCTGGAAAAGACTTTATGGGGATGAGGACCTTGAAGTTGCTCAGGGTTACCTCACAATTGGGTTCAATCTGGTGGAGAGTACAGCCGTAGTGAGTACGATGAAGCCATTGGGATGTACCGCGAAGCCCTCGCCATCCGACAGAGCCTTCTTTGGCAATTGCACTGACACCGCTGATGTGCATTTCGACATTGGACGAGCACTTAAAGTAGCCTGCCCAAAATTTAAAAGAGGAACAGATGGCTAGCTAGCTAGCTAGCTAGCTAGCTAGCTGGAGTAGCTACTATTAATAGTTACCGTAGCTCCCAAGCAGCCAACTGTTCATTATTTAGCTAGCCACCTAGTAGGAGAGCCTAATATCTTGGCTACTCAAGCAGCCAACTGTTACCTCTAGAGCTAGAAATAGGCTCTAATATATCTACTAGAGCTAGCTAGCTAGCAGCGGTGGCAGTGCTAGCTAGGTAGTTACACATTGTACATCGTAGCCAACCGGCCCAATGATTCCATTTCAAACTCGTTGAGGGCTCATGCCTTCGGCAGCCTCAATGATCCCAACTACGTTTAGATGTATCTTGTTTGATCAATCTCTGTTCACATCAATCGCAGTTGAACACGTACAGTGTATGCCATACAGTACAACCTTTTGGCTGTAGTAGCTATGATAGCTAGCCAGCGTGTCGAGGTCGATCTCAATCGGGCAATCAAATCGAATACGAGTCTGAGTCGGTCGTATCATGGGTGGATCGAATTTTTTAAAGTACACGTCATTCATGGATCTTTCGTCAATTCAAGTGAGTGATGCCAACAGTTTGACTCATCTTCAATCCGATGACTTGAGCGCTGACTTCCAAGTAGTCAACCACACAACAGCTTGATCACAAACACAATTTGAAAAAGGGTACATCTAGCTAGTCCTTTGTCCCGTCTGAAAGTATCGCATCATGAAGGTCAGCGTCGTTGCACTTGGCCTTTTGGTCCTCACAGGAGAGTCGACAGCTTTTCTTTCTTCTCCTCCACTTTCCAATGGACGAGAAAAGGTCGACGGGCCGTTCGAGATTCCTCAAGAAGTTTCCAGGGGAACCACCAGACCAATCAGCACTCTCGCAGCCAGTCCGGTGCCAGAGCAGGATGGAAGCAGGAGCAGCCCATTTGCTCATGTGGAGAAGAAAGTGGCTTCGGCATTGGTTGCTTCATTCATTGCAGCTTCCTCGTTGGGGCTTGCCGTCGCTACACCTGAACCGACATTTGCCGCCCCAGTGGCTCAAGCCGAAGTCGTCAAGGCACAAAAAGTGCCGTCTGGAGTTGCAGCAGTAGTGTCTGCCAAGGATCAGGTGGCTGTTGCGTCGCAAGCCATTAACAAGGCACAGCAAGAGTACACAGCTGCTCTGGCAGCCGAAAAAATTGTTGCCAAGGAAATATACAATGCCGAAAAACTACTCGAGGGACTCGACAAAAACGCGGAAGTGGCTAAAACAAGGCTCAAAACCATCAAGAAAAACTCAAAAGGTGCTGATGTCAAGGGTATTGCCACAGCCCAGCAACGAGTGGGTAAGTTTGAATGGTTGGCAAGGCGATTTGTTGGAAGTGTCCTCCCTCGCATTTCTCCATAAGTAGCTTCCACAGGAGCGGGCGATGGTATGAAACAACGTGTCCGTTGCCTTTCTCCCCCGAACTCACGACATTTTTGTCTCTCTGGTAAATGCCTGAGTAGCCGACACAACTGCTGCCAAAAAAGAAGCCAAAGCGAGATTTGATGCTGCCAAAAAAGCCAGCAAGAAAGCTTCAGAGGACATTGCCAAGAAGCAAAGCGCCGTTCAAAAGGCCAAAAGTGAACGTGAAAAGGCGGATGGCAAACTGAAGTCTGCTGAACAAAAGCTGAATGAATACAAGAAGAAGTCAGCCGAGGCACAACGAAAGGCCGACAAGGCAGCTAACGAGAAGGCCAAAAAGGAAGCAGCAATTGCTCAAGAGAAGGCAAAGAAGGACGCTGCAAAGGCGAAGGAGCAAGTCAAAAAGCAGAAGGAACAAGCCAAAAAGCAGAAGGAAAAAGAGGCTGCAAATAAGAAGAAAGCTGCTGAGCAAGCAAGGAAGAAACAGGCTAAGGATGCTGAACAAGCAAGGAAGAAACAGGCTAAGGATGCTGAACAAGCAAAGAAGAAACAGGTCAAGGACGCAGAACGAATGAAGAAGGTGCAGGCAAAGGAACTAGAAGCTGCTGCAAAGAAGTCCAAGAAAGACAGTAAAAGCGGGCAGGTCTCAAAAACTGCAGCACCAGCTGTAACGTCTATGACCAAGGCTGAACTTAGCCATAAGATTCAAGACAAAGAGCTCGAAGTCAAACGCTTGTCAAGAAAGAAATTGTTCCTAGAGGGTTCCAGAGATGCACCAAGGGCGGAGTTGGCTAAAGTCAAAAAGCAACTCGATGCATCGAGCAAAGAGTTGGAAGGTTTGAAGGCTCTAAAGAGGTGAAGGGGAAAAGGAGACCTGACAAAATGGATGTGAGAAGATCAAGGAACTTAATAAGTTCTTGAATGGCGCAAGCAAGCGACTACGTGCCAAGTAAAGCAAGGAAGACACATCAACCAACGGGCACAAAGGCACACGCCAGAAAGCTTTGCTGTTACAACAGTTTGTCTACAGTAGAAAGGTTTACTATACATATAAACATGTTTCTAGCTAGCTACACGAGACCGAAGTCATCATGCATGTTGCGAAGAACATCAGTAAAGACAGCCGCCAAGATGTCGTAGTTCCTGTTTGCAAAAACGAGCGAGGTTTGTTAGAACAGCGATAGACCAAGGCATCTTCAACAAATTAATGCCCGAACTTACCTTGTGGTTTCTTTGTGCTCAACACCCAGTGCCTCAATCACAGTCGTAGTGTACTCTATGCCTGTCGTTCTTGACTTGCCTACATTGTGGAACCGGTGCATTTCCGGTTTGTACTTTGTGCCGTGAGGATGATTTGTCCCCGTATCGCTCTCGACGGTCTTCTTCTCCTCATGGTTACTTTGCTTCGGTGGCGCTCCATCAACCCATTCCATCGCACCTTTGGGTCTGTGACTGACAACTATGTCCTCCAGTGGGTTCCCACTTGCAACGTCTTCGCTCCCAGAATGTCTTGCCGCCCGAGCGGCATGGAAAAGCCAAACATGAGCCCAAGATAGCGACAGATAGGGAACACTACCATCGCCGCTATGGTGTAGCGAGCTTTCTCCAAACCTTTCTCGTTTCTTTCTCTTTTTTAATAGATCAGCGAGACCACCCCTAGTGGCATCCAAAGCTTCAGTAAAAAGCTCTCCGTGGGCTTGCTCCACTATCACCTGCTCGAGGTGCGGTACTCCATCATATTCCTCCTGGTCCTGTGTTGGAGATTCCTTCTTCCTATACTTGTAACCTACTTCGGTTGGAATGTCTACTCCGTATGCCATTATGACGTGCTTGATCAGTGGTCGTCTGGACCGACACGGTATGCAAAGAGGCGAAATGAGTCAACAGTGTCGAGTTTGCCTAAAAACAAACCTTGCTTGCTAGAATCCTGGAAATGGATGTACTTACTCCCAGGTGTGATTCAAAATGTTGGGTACCCTCGTGTTCCAGAATGACTCCTCAAGTTGTTCGCGTTTTACAATCATTGGTTCGTCCCTCTCCTTCCAAATCCTGTTGAAAGTATTGAAGATCTCGCCAGTTTCGGAATCTCGTGCCGTCAATGAAGTCGAGTTCTTCGTTTCACATGGCTGTCGACCTTTGGTCTTGCACTCTTCAATAGTAATCTCAACCATCGGGGAGTCAGTGTCCCAATCAATCCTTTCTTTCATCAGCGATTTCAATGCCGGATAGTTTTCCCATGGATCATCTCCATGATTTCCAAATTCGATTTCATTGAAGATGTCGTCCAAGCAAGCAAGCTTTGAGTGAGCTGGGCTCTTTTCTGTCTTGGAGGGTTCTTCTCCCCATTCATTCACGTCCCACTGATCACAAAACCCACTCTTGGAAGATACAGGGTTTACACTATGAGTAGAACCGAATGCTACAACCGAGACGAGAACGAGTTTGTGTCAGAGTCAATCGTCTCATAGCAACTGCAAGGCAACCATATCATGCCTGCTCACTTAGTTCCATTTCCCTGGCCACTTCATCAGAGATTGGCAGGCCCATATTCTCTCCACTCAGGACGGCACGTAGAGGGTTGATCGCGCCGAGCAAGGGAGCCGAGAGTCCCACGTAGGTCCAAATGTGCTCCTCAACCCAGTCGATCCAATTTCCATCTCCTTCGATCTTAGCCAGTTCCCAGAGCTGTGGGTGTCGACCATCTGCATCTGTGCTTTCTTCGTTTCCACCGATCGATTCTCGCGCAGAGAAGTATGCGCTCCACCATTCGTCAAAGCCGGTAACAACACCACTCATCCAACCTGGTAACACAGTAGCCGGATCCCCTTCCGCCTGCCCTTGTTGTGTTGGTTGTTGCATATTGAGCTTCTTGGCTCGTCTCTCGGCGCGCTTTAAGTACTGTTGATATGACTCGTGCCTCATTTCTTGCCGCAACCACTCCAGAAAGTATCGAAAGACAACATTGCCCATGGAATGGGCCACAACGATTCCAGGCTCACCATTTGATTTGACTGCGGCCTCTATCCGTCTCCTTGTTAAGGTCAGAAATCCATCTCTGCCTTCCATTCTATCTGGCGAAAGCCTCCAATCATACGGCAACCCAATAACATTTGTCACGTCGTATCCCAGGTTGTCTGCTAGCCACTGAATCAACCAGGCATAGACTGAAGACCCATACCCAAGAATATAGAGACCAAGAGTTTAGAAACCGTGAATCTTTTCTGGAACACGGAACAATCAAGTTTTGGACTTGGCGACACCTTCCAGCAGCACCAACCACACTTACCAGTGTTGGTCCCACCCACAAGGAGATCCGAACCGAACCCACTTGGAGACAAGGAGGATATAGCATCGAGGCCCTCCTCTGGACGTAACTTGCACCCGGTTTCCAGGTCATCCGTGTCGGTTTGATTCAGACCCAGAGATAGGCAGTCTTTCAAGCATGACGAATCAAAGGTACCCATTTGAAAGACAAAGTTGATGTTGAGCCACGCGACATCTAGCACTTTAATGTCTGAAAGGAGAGGGTGTTGGGGGCAGCTCTTGAACTTCCATGCAATCAATCGTGTCGAAGCTAGGCCCGGTATGAGAAACACGGGGGGCCTGCGATTCTTGGGAATGGTCTTTTCACTGGATTTTTGTCGGGTCCCATCTTTTTTCTTGGAGCTACCCACAGACCCTGCTTCCCTGAGTTTATCGCGCATTCGAAGAATAGTTGGATCTGACCCCCAATGCTTATCACCCGGAGGGGAGCAAGTCTCTTGGCCCTGTTCTACATCCTTTTTGCTTGCCTCATCCAGCATGTTTTGGGAGTCACAAGTGTCACTGTCTTTTGCTTCTCCACTGGTTTCCAAGGTTGATTGAGGAGGTGCCCAACAATCCTCGTTGTCGCAGGATGGATCTCTGGAAAGGGCATCAAAGAAACTGTCTTCAATTTCATCAAGCAACTTTTGTGGTACAGTTTCGTTGTCGGTAGCATTTTGCAGGGATGCTCCATCCTGTATCTCATCTTGTATTTCCTCCGTTGTGGTTTTAGGAGCGCCAGCTGACGTCGATGATGTTTCACCCTCGATGGCTTCGCCTTGGGAGTCAGCAACGGCGGCCGCCGTGGCCAATGAAATGGCCAAGGATGAAACCAGAAACAAACATAGAAGGCAATGCCTGAGGTTGAGAATCTGATGCATATTTCGTTTTGACAATTTTGGTTGCAAGGACCAGAAGGTACTAGAAGATTGAGATTGAACAACTGAGATTCACTCAGCCTTTGTGGTGTGGAGAATCTTTGTTGAATCGAATCCAATAACTCAAAATCAGGTTGTCAACAATCGAAGGGGTAGGCAAACAAGCTCGTAAGAAGTACAGCTTTGCCTTTGTGTTGCTCTCTCAATTCAAAGCCTTCGTTCTACTGTTCCTCGACATCCTATCTGCAACCTATCCGCAGCAGTTATGTATCTTGGTACCACAGTAATAGAAAGAAACGGCCCGAAATCGCGATTTACACCAAATTCGGATTTATACTTGTGTTTTGGTTTGATACTTTGGTTTCGATTTTATATTTAGGCTTCGATCTTATATTTTGGTTTCGGCTTGATTTTACTAGTTAATTACCATAGTAATTTGGTTTCGGTTTGATACTTTGGTTTCGATTTTATATTTAGGCTTCGATTTTATATTTAGGTTTCGAATTGATCAATTGGTTTGAATTCATAAAATCGTGATTTCCGGCCCTTTCAAAGTGTTGATCTACCCTTCAACTTCGATCGAAAGTGATGGCGGCATTCTGTTTTCGAGCTGTTGCCGATTTTTCTCGTTTGCTGACGATGACGTGCAACCGTGAGTCACGAATATCATGAGTGACAAGTGCACTAGTGACAAGACGTAGACTGCGCGGGAAACCGCAACGCAAGTCAAAGCAAAACGAGGCCCGACACTGTGGACCAGCAAGGGAGGACATGGCTTTGTTTGGAACTACACACTACATCATAGTCTCCCCTATTGCAGCAGTAACAGTGCACTAGTATGCTATGGAGCAAGTCATGACTACTTTACTGTCAGCGCCGAGGCTCTGTAATAACCATGAGGCGTTCCGGAACATCCGATTGTCTAGCAGCTCGTGGAGGCTTGAACCAGCAACCCCAAAAGTGTTTGTTGACAGCAAAAACAAGTAAAATGTAATGAGCAAGCTGCTGCCCAGGATCTTCTCGCGGAAGCAAGCGTCGTCGTACTAGCTAGATCTGGTAGGGAACCAGCATGGTGACGGACTAAACAAAATGAATGCAATGCAAAAAAGTTGTGCGAGCTGCTGCCCAGGGTCGTCGTACTAGCTAGATCTGGTGGAAAACCAAGCTAAAGGGAAAACAAAATGCAATGCAAAAAGTTGACAAGCTGCTGCCCAGGTTCGAACTGGGGATCTTTCGATCGCTTTTTTGGCTGAATACAAGTCGAATGCTTTACCACTTAGCCACAGCAGCTGCCTGACAAATGGAAAAATTTGGAGTTTATAATTAATTTTATTGTTCCTTCCAGACCACACAATCTCGAGTACTACAGTCGTACTAGCTAGTACCAAGCGCAACAGATATAGGGTCAAGGTACATCAAGCTACATCTTAGGATGACTCTTACCCTACCACTTGAGTCATCCCCAAGTCTCACAACATCTCTACTTGAACACCAAGTCTTCCTCTTTGATTGAGTCTGAATGATATTGGGGTTGGTTCATCTGGAGTTGATCTACCTGAACAACCATCCCCAAGCCATACTCAGGAAATTTTTCTCTTTGCGCTCCGCCCTCCTGCCTCGCCCTGATCTCGCTCTTTCTTGTCTCTCTTCCTCGCTCGTCTCCGCCTCCTGGGTCTTTGGGTCTCTCTATTTTTCTCATTTCCTCACGGGGGTTGTGGTCTTTATCACCTCCTCCAAGCACCAAGAGAGCTCCCTGTTCGGGCTCTTCTTTGTTTCTTGTAAACTTGTTAACAAACACAATAGCTTTCAGCTACCCTCAACCTATTCCTTCACCATGAAGATTGCTCAAGGAAAGCATGCGTTCAGCAACTACGAGAAACAGTTGCGTGACAAACTCATTCTTCCTCTCGTCGACAATGACGAAGACAACGAGGTCGACGACACTCGTGCAACCACCTACAAACTTCGCACCATTCCTGCAGATGCAAATAGTGCCAAGTACACTTTCAAGGTAGCCATCATCAATGGCTCCAACTCTCCACGTGAGACCATCAAGTGGGCCACGAATATGGACAAGGTCTTCGTTGGACTCAACCTTGCCAGTGCCGACGATAAACATCGTCTTCTCAAGGAGATGACTTCCAGCTCTGCAAAGAGTGCCTACGAAGCTGGGTGTGCAGGCAGTCATGCTGTGCGTCATAACGCCCTTCGCCAAATTGCTGTGAATGCAATTGCTCCACGCGACGTGACTTCCGGAGAAACCGAAGTCAAATTCCAAGCTCATGTCCAAGCCGCATGGGACGGTGCAGCGGAACCCGCTCTAAGCGATGCTGACATCACCTTCGGAATTAACGCGGTTATCAAAGCAGCCTGTCCTTACAAGGCTCTCGAAAAACAGAAACGCTTCATGCGTCGTAAGATGCGCAAGCCTAGCAAGATGACAACTCCTGTGTTGTTTGCTAGTAATACTGCAGCTTATTGGGGAGTAATTTGGTTTTAGATTAAGCTGAAAAGCAAAAGTGAGGATTTCTGGTGGTGCATAGCAATTCTTGTGATTGAATTGGATATAAGGACCCCCGTAGCACTTTAGACCTAAAACTCCCTTGGTTCCTTGCATGATGATTTACATGCGAACCGGACTAGATGATTAATACACGAGTCAATAGTAAAGAGGTGTCAGGTATGTTTCCTCCAACACACTCCTGCACGGTGCCCTAAGTGGCTACCGTGGAACGAATAAAATAAATTAGGCAATCAAACAAGGGGTGGATGCCCCATGATGAAAGCCCTGTGCTCGTGGAAGAGCTTGCCCTGAAGGGGCTTCGTGAAAAATCTCCACGCATTCCAAGGTTGGGCAGTACACAACTCTAAGGTTGCCTTTTCAATCTGGTCATGAATAAAAAAGAAACGAATGTTTGATAGCCCGAGTTCTTTGCCCGAACTGCCTTTGCCATTCTCTGCAAGAATGATCGGCTTTTGTTGTCCTGCATGAGGATGTTGTCCTTCACAACGATCCCCTGCTCTTCAAGGAACAACTTTGCCCACAACATGGCGACATGACATCGTCAGCTCCAATCAGTTCCGCTTCAGTGCTGCTTCTTGAGTTGAGCTTCTTGTTTCGCGGACACAGAAAGCACCGCTCCTCTTCCAAAGGACATGACTCCTCCTGTATGGGAACGGTAATCAGGATGGACTGCAAATGATGCATCCACCCACCAAGTGATGACACGGATATCATCAACATGGAGTATCAACTTGTCCTCCACTGTTTGGTCCAGGAATTCAATCCTTGGATCAACTTGCCCAGTCATCAACTGTGGGATTCCTCACCGTGTGCAGAGAACAATTGTCAGTGTCTGAACATCTGGTCTTGCTCTCTTGCACGCGAACAACAGCTTGGCTGCGTGGTGTGATAGATTTCTCTGGTCTTGTCATCCAAAGCAGCTCCATCACCAGAACTGAATAAATCGGCAGGTGCCGCGCTGGGCACCTTCTTCATTTGCTCGAAGTCCACCGGGAACTCCAAGATCATCTTCTTAAGATAGTCAATCATGTCAATGACTACCTTGCCTGGATCGGAAAAGTCCACCGTCATCCCCAAGTAGTCATGCTTGGGACCACGGGTTGCCTTCACGGCTCCATAGTTCCATACCTAGCGTTGAACCATTCCAGAGTTTGGTTATTCACCAACTTCATTCTGTGGCTTGACATTAGTCATCAACATGAAATCGAATTGTTTGTTGGTACCCCTCGATCATGCGGTTGGCCACACAAGGATCGTATTTGTTGAACACAAATCCAATTTGTTCGAGGTCGCTCCTGAAGAGCTTGTACCAGAGTAATGCTGCCAAAACCATTCCGTAGATGGCTCTTTCCACAACGACATAGAGGACTGGTCGTCCCTCTTGTATGTCAGGAAAGAGGCATATGTGTCAGGATCAATTTCGACAAGTAAGTCTGCAAGGGTTCCCTCAATGATCATGAGGACCCTGTCTTCACCTTGTTTGACTTCTGGCATTGGGGTTTGGATGAACGCATTGGGAACATCCAGGGACATCACATCCCTATCTTCAGATGCATCGCACACATGGATAACATCAAACCCTCAAGTGAAACTGTTGACTTCTGGCATCTTCTTTCTGATGGTACACCCTGGTAGGTTTCCCATTGTAGACTGCACGGGCCTTGACCGTGCCATCCCTTTTCTCACTCACAAACATGAGTGCCATTTGTGCCTTTTTCAATTCAGAATCACTGCATTTGTTTGGGTCGACTGGACTGAAACACACTCTGCTGTGTAGCTGGTCCATCTCTTTGAGCGCCGCCTTTCTGGCTTTGTTGCCCAACATCTTTGGAGGGAACCGCAACATGATCAGGACTGGTCAAATTCGCGACTGTCCCGTCAAGCTGGAGGAATCGATCGCGCCGAATTAATTTTCGGGGGCGACATGGCAAGGCCAAGGGCTCTCTACACGCAGACGCCCGCCACCAGTGACCGACAGTATTCATACTGTACCGGATGACTGTTGGCACCACACAGGTTCCTGACGGATGCATGGATGTGTTTATGTCTGTGAGATTGCCTTCTAGCATTCACTGACTTGCAAATCGACACCGCGAATCAGCCTACCTGACCAACAGGAAAGAAAATCATTCTATGCCGCATTGACAAGATATTTTGATCGGTACGGAAATAAATGATTTCAAGATCAAGAAATACAGTGCGACCTGGAGTTAAGAGCCCTGATGGATCCTGTCAAGAACGACATGGAGCTCAAGTCAACCATGGAGCGGCTCAGACTCACAGTGGTCCCGCGGAGCGGAACATCCGAACTTGAAGGAGCGCATCCGCGCAGCCTGGCATTCAACCCCGTTCATGGTGATGCCAAGGTGATGATTGTGGAATTGGTGTACGATGTTAACTGTAAACTCAACCTCTTCCCCGGCTTGATGGAATCTCTAAAGTGTATCCTCCCAGGCAGATCTTGGAGGGTCGGACCACGAGCTACAAAGATATTCAGTACACTTTTGGGAGCTATTGTCTTGCTTCACAACGAACCAGACAAGCTCAATTCCAGTGGAGCCCCGGCATTGGATTGCATCTATCTCCGTCCATTGATGGACAACACCAAGGTGGACACAGTGTGTTGGACCTCGTCACCTTTGAGTGATACACGCGACAGCATGTCCGCATCCTGCCGTGCCTCGCTCAGTCATTGATGCTTTCGAAAAGAAGGCATACGGTGAGGGTAAGAAACCACTAATCTTTCACAACGTGACTTGTGGAATTTTTACCTGTAGGTTTGCCTGCAGGAGTGGATGGTGTCAATGGAAATGAGAGCTACTCCAAGTCTATGGAGACTCTTCGGACGAAGATTCAGTGGAATCACGGAATCAGATGAAGATTCTGAGATGGGGACGCCCCAGGGCTAGTACCAAGGGCATCCAAACAGTATGCCACAGACATTGACTCCATGAAGAGGAGAAGAGGGATTCAAGGAATCCAACAAGCACAAGTCCAGACAACCCTACAGTTGAAGAGACGGCACCAGCAGTGGATACCAATGATGGAAACCTCGCTGGACCAGCCAAGGCTTCCAAGCTTCCTCGAGTTGGAATTAGACGCTCAGCTCGGATCGCCACAGCCGAAGCAAAGAAAGGAGTCACCTTCGTCCAAGATGAGACAGCGAAGCAACCACTACTGTATGAGAAAGAGACAAGCAAACATCTAGCTTTGTTATGGACTCCTGAACCACAGGAGTGCCACGCAGAAGTCAAGGATGAGCAGCCACGCCCAACAACATCTTCTACCCAAGGGTCTGAAAGTGTG